AAATCCACGACTCCAAATATGACTCAATTGTGCAAATTCATGTGGTACCATTGGAACAGAACTCCCAACTTAGAAAATTCCAGTTTACTGAGGCATAAGACAAAGCCTTCAACTTAGAACATGCCAATCCAGGCCAACATAGGTGAGCATTCGCTCCAACTTAGAACATGCCAATCCAGGCCAACTTTAATGCTATGCTATGATATGTGAAGATATAAACAACCATAACTCGACAACGCAACAACAAAAACAACATAACAACGTTTGACATAACAACAAATCACACCGTTCAATATTGGCCAATGGCCTACAACATAACATATCAAAGAAATCAATAACTTTTCATGAAACAACATGTTCATTATATATTCACTAGGATTCACACCATAAGGCTACCCACAAAAATAATTCATAATCACATTATCATTAGTGAATTCCACATATACACAATGATATCTCGCAACAACAACACATTCATCGATCAACACAAAATAACACAACATTGGTCATAAGACCTAAAATCAACAATGTCCATAAACCAGACGGAACGACTTAACCATCTGTACCGACAATTCAGTGTAATCGACAATTTCAACAAAAAGACATATCCACAATTACCTACTAATTAAACTTAGTTACCCGGTCAAATTTCGTTAAATTCCGGACAACTAATTATACCGCCTAATTCGGCTACTGATCAAAGGTTTTTACACAGGAATTTTAGTAGTTACTTGGTCATTGCTTCGTTTAACTAATTAATGTTTTATTCCTTATCACCATATTATGTGCTTAGGTTTGAAGAAGAATCAAACAGGACGAATCAAGTCAGAAAAGTGCATAAGTCTAATTTTCAGAAAATTTGCTACAACAGCTGACACAAGTGGCCGCGTTGCCTGACACGGCCGTGTCAGGAGAAGGAAAGGGGAAGGCGTGGAGTGCAGGGGCTGACACGGGTGCCCGTGTCAACTGACACGACCCGTTTCAGGAGACCTGGAGCTTAAAAACCAGTTTTGCCTCCCTTTACACATGTGTCTTCTTCTTGTTCATTCCTTGTTTCAATTTACCCATTTATCCTAGCTTAGCATTAACCCAATACAGTTCAAATACAAGAAATAACAACACAAATCAAATCAATCATTAATTTTAATAGCAACATAACTAATTTTTAGCACAACATAGTAGGGAAACCAATACCCTAAATCCCAATTAAAATTCATCATACTCCCATTTATTTAGCAAGAACCTGACCCTTACCTTGGATTGAGTGCAACTCTAAGAAACTTCAATGGAATTTCTAGGGATTTGACACTAGTAGCAACTTCCTTTTGTTCTTCTTCTCCTCTCAAAACCCTATTCCTCTTTCTCTTCTTTTCCTTTCTTTTCCTGATAACACTAACTCTCTTTCTCCTCTAGTTCTATTTCTATTATAATATTATTTCTCTTAATAAATCTAAATGGGCCTAAGCGACATACCCCCTTATTACTTCACAACACCACAAAGTAAGCTCAATCTCATATTTTAGCTTAATAATAAAATAATACTTCAATTTAATTCAACCAAATTAAATCTGAGTATTTATCATGCCACTAAATAAAATAATTTCGACTTCGACGATAAAAATCCGAATTAATATGAAATATTCAAAAATATTTAATTAAATATCTGGGCGTTACAACTCTCCCCCACTTAGAATATTTTCGTCCTCTAAAATAAAAGTTTACCTGGTTCAAATAACTCGGGATATGAGTCTCACATCTTGCTCTCCAACTCCCAGGTCATACTTTCTCCAACAGCTCCTAACCAGACAAATTTCACCAATGCAATCTCCTTTCCTCTTAGAATCTTCATCTCGTGATCCGCGACTTGCACATGCATCATCTCCACCGTGATATTATCCCGTACTTACACATCGTCCATCTGAATCACATGAGACGGACTAGGAATATACTTCCGAAGTTGCAATACATGAAACACATCGTGCAAATTAGCAAGATTTGGCGATAACGCCACTCAGTAAGCAACTTTTCCAACTTCATCTGATATCTGATATGGACCAATAAAACAAGGAGTGAGCTTCTTATACTTCAGAGCTCGCCCAACACCAGTCACATGTGTGACTCTCAAAAACACATGATCACCAGCTTGGAATTCCAAATCCTTCCTTCTCTTGTCATGGTAACTTTTATGTCTACTTTGAGAAACCTTCATCTTCTCTCGGATAAGCTTCACTTTCTCAGTAGACTCTCGAAAAATCCCAGGTCCAAGTACCACACTTTCACCCAATTCATGCCAACACAACAGAGTCATACACCTCCGACCATACAACGCCTCAAAAGGTGTCATTCCAATACTCGAATGGTAATTGTTATTGTAAGTGAACTCAATCAACGAAAGATAAGTATCCCACGAACCTCCATGCTCTCAGCAAATCCTCCAATGACTGAATCGTCCTCTCAGTCTGACCATCCATCTGAGGATGATACGCCGTACTCAACCTCAACTTAGATCCCAACGCTTCTTGCAAACTTTTCCAAAAATCAGAAGTAAACCTCGGATCTCTATCTGACACAATACATAAAGAAACACCATGCAACTTCACAATTACTCTGGTGTAAATCTCTGCCAACTTTGAAATGGATATGTGATGTTAATAAGTATGAAGTGTGCCGACTTTGTAAGCCTATCAACAATCACCCATATCGAATCATGTCCTCTCAAGGTACTAGGTAATCCCGTTACAAAGCCCATCAAAATGCTATCCCATTTCCATTCTGGAATCTCTAATGGTTGCATCAACCCTGCAGGCTTCTAATGCTCAATCTTCGACTTCTGACAAATCAAACAAACATACATAAACTGTGAAACATCACGCTTCAACCAGGCCACCAAAACAAGCCCTTCAAATCTTGATACATTTTAGTAGCTCTTGGATGAATACTCAAACTGCTTTTATGACTTTCCTCAAGAATCACTTTCTTAATCTCTTCATCATCAGGAATGCAAATACGATCTCGGAATCACAACACACCTTGCGCATCTATCTTGAAATCATCATTATCAGATTGATTGATTCCCATCATCATATCCATCAACTTTACATCTAGCTTTTGAGCCTTACTGATACTGTTGAGAAAGTCATTATTAATCTTTAACATTCTCAACATAACGCTCTGCGGTGTCACTTCACAAACCAAACTCAAATCTCGGAATTGCTCAATCAACTCTAACTCTTTAACCATCATTGCCGACATGTGCAAAGTCTTTCGGCTTAAAGCATCGGCCACAAAATTAGCTTTTCTTGGATGATAATTCAAATCGAAATCATAATCCTTCAATAATTCTAACCATCTTCGCCGCCTCATATTCAACTCTTTCTGATCAAAAAGATACTTCAAACTCTTATGGTCACTAAACACCTCGAATCTAGAACCATAAAGATAATGCCTCCAGATTTTCAACACAAAGACAACTGTAGCCAATTCTAAATCATGCGTAGGATAATTCTTTTCATGAGTCCTCAATTGCCTCGACGCATAAGTAACCACCACCTTACTATTCTGCATGAGTACACCACCTAACCCCATCAGACAACCATCACAATACACAACAAAAGGTTCTCCCAGATTAGGCAAAGTCAAAACCGGAGCCGACGTCAACCTCTTCTTCAACTCGGTAAAACTTTCTTCACATCGACTATCCCACACAAAGGCTTTACCCTTACAAGTCAACTTGGTCAACGGAAGTGCCAACTTAGAAAAACCTTCGATAAACCGTCTATAGTAACCGGCTAATCCCAAAAAACTTCTAATCTCGGTAACTGACTTCGAAGTTTCCCATTGCAATACAACATCAACTTTAGAAGGATCCACAACAATGCCACTACCAGAAATGACATGACTAAGGAAACTAACCTCATGCAACCAGAATTCACACTTGGACAACTTCGCATACAACTTCTTCTCTTTCAAAACTTGCAATACAACTCTTAGGTGCTCTTCATGTTCTTCTGATTTAGAGTAAATCAGAATGTCACTAATGAATACCACCACAAATCGATCCAAATAAGTATGAAAGATACGATTCATGTACTCCATGAAAACTCCTGGCGCATTAGTAACACCGAAAGGCATCACTGAATACTCGTAGTGTCCATACCGAGTTCTGAATGCGGTCTTCCGAATATCATCTTCTTTCACTCTAATTTGGTGATATCCTGACCTCAAATCAATCTTTCGAATGATTTGAACCTACCTAAGTTTTAAAGTTGAGCGGTGGTAGGCGAAGTTTTGTATTCATTATGAAAGTAACGAAGCAATCCTTTATTGAAAAAGTCTTGAGTTTTATTATGTTAGTAAAAATAAATATTTTTAAATCGGTTAGCTATTTTAAATTTGATTCGAGTTTGATGGATTGAAGAAGAGTTGATTTTCATTGGAATTAAATCGCACTAGGCGAAGAAATTGATTTAATTTATTTGTGAATTTTAGATGTTTTAATTGAATAATCAATTGATACAATGTTAAGCCGACTTATTAATTACTCGGAGATGTGGTGGATATTAAATCCACATATCCTATTATTTACTAAATGTTGAATTAATTTGATAAAAAAAGCGATTGGATATATGTATAAAGTTTATTTGTTTTATTATTATATTCTTAATTTTAGTATTTTTACATTATCACTAAACCAAAAATGAATTAGCAAATTAATTAGCCCTAATTAAAATACTAATAATCAATTGAAAAAAAAAAACTCCAAAACCTGTAACAACTAGAACAACCACTTCTCTCCCCAGTTTAATTATAGTGTTGAAATTTGTGCTTGTATGAGGTGGGCATTTGAACTTGTGATTAGCCAGTCAAAAGTCATATTTTTTTCTTGCAGCAACTTTAATCTCACTCACCATTGTTCTCTTTTCTTCACAAACTAAATACACAATCACCTCTTTCTCTGTCACTTCTGCACATTTCTCGGCACACAAAATCAAAGAGAAACATCAATCAAATAAAATCACAAAAGAAATAAGGTATACCGCGTGAGTTCTGGGGTGGTTGGAAACAGGTTGTTCGCCGGAGTTGTGAGTGTGTCTTCGGCGTCGGTTGTGGCAGCTGGGTGGTACGACTTGGAGCGTGCGTCGTGAATGGATGGATCGGCAGGTTGTGCTGGGGGAAGCTGGATGTCGACTGTTGTGAGCTCGGATCTGTAGACTTCTCCTCTGATTTATTTTTGTGCTATTATTTCCTTCTCCACTTTCTGGCTTTTCTAAGTTGTGATTCATATTCAATTATTGATGAAGCTTGAAGTGTCACCATTATCGGATTTCTGGATTAGAAAATATGTACAAAATATGCAATAATTGTGTGTTAGTGTTGTGTTTGAAGTGGAATTAGGGTTGATGATAATTTATGAAGAGTAATGGATTTGAGGTAAAAAAAGAGGTTTTTGGATGAAGGTTTAAGAGAATTGGAAGCTACATGTTTTGTTGAAGTGAAAAGTTCGAGTTTGGTCGATTTACATGTATGATTCTGTTTGAAGTTTAGTTTGAAATTGTTGATAAATTGCAGGAAGTTAAATGTTAATCTACAGGTTTGGATTTGAGAGTTTTTTTGAGTTCAAAAATTGTACAGGTTCGACGCGTTGAAAATTAATGTGATAAAAGGTGAGTGGTTTTGTTAGAAAACATGGAAATAATTAGATAAACAAAAAGTAATAAAAATTAGCAATAAAAATTAGTAAAAATGCAGATAAAAAAAAATGATGGTAACAAATGGTTTGGTTAAAAAAGGGTTTTGACTTGGAGATTTGTGATAAAAAAATGTGTGTAACATTTAACGTGGAAAAACGTGAATAAGAGGATAAAATTGTTAGTGTAAAAATATAAATTAAAAAAAACCATTAAACAATATCATTATATGGTTTAAGGGTGGCCTCGTACGGAGATTATTAGCTAAAATAAATATTGAGGTTTTGAAAAAACGTGTAAAAGTGAAAGTTGAAATTGTAAAGTTGCGGATAGTAGTTGTTATACCTCAATTTTTGTCTCTAAGATTCTTATATCATTTCATGTTATCACAATGCATCAAGATCGCACATTAGGGATTTGGTTATCGCTTCTAATGTTTCTTATCTTTAAGTTTGTCCCTGAGGGATCACTGAATACCCTGATTTTGTATCTTGTATATAAGTGTTTTATATTTTACTGACCTCTAACCAAAATCCAAAAATACGTGTTGTTTATTTTATTTCTTTTAGAAGACGGGGTTTCAGATCAAGGAATTCAGGTGATGGTTCTCCAATTAGGGTTGGATTTTGTTCAGGCCAATGGTTGGTTCTTAAAAGCCTATGTTTCAGAGTGGTGATCTATAATCTTAAGTCACGTTATCCTCAAGCTTCATTCATCATGGTTAAGGCGAGTTTGGTGGCTTAATTCTCAAGACTCTTCGAGATAGGTTCGTGTGTTTATTTATATGCCTTCTTCAACGATTAATCTCAAGTTTTGACAAATGCGAGTATGATTTGATCAAGACTTTGTCATCTCAAGTTCATATGTGATCAAGAATGCTTTGGGTTGTGGAAAAAGATAAAATCTACAGGTGGATTCAAAGTTGGTTGACTAAAAGTCAACGTTTACAAGTTTGAGTTCAAATGATCATAACTTCTTCATTATTCAGTATTTTTGAGTGATTCTTCGAGCATATGAATCTCCTTAACATCATCTCCATTTTCTCTTTTCAAGTCGAGAGCTAATTATGCATAGAAGACCATCAAATATTTGAGTACATTAGAGGTCGTTTTGTGACTTTGACCTATTTTCAAGTGACTTTCGTCCAACTTTCGAGGATCATAACTCTTTCAATTTTCATCATTTTGGGACGATTCTTCCTGCATGATACTCTTCAAGATGTTATCTACAAGTTTGTTTCAAAGAGCAAAAGCGAATTGTGCTTAGAAGGTCGTGGAATTTATTGAAACACTATAGATCATTTTTTGACTTATAATGTTCTTAACCTCTAAATTTCAATTCATGTTACCAATTTCCTAATGCCATAAATTTTTCCTCAAAGTCTTATTTATGTGTGGAAATTATTAATCGTGCATTAAGATTCATATGATTTTCGATCAACAATTCAAGATTTGAACTATTTGGTGATTAGTTCATAAGGCAAGAGTTCAAATATTACATGATGCACATGGGGGCATTCACTTAAAATTTGAAGAAGCATTACAATTTGAAAATAAGGATCGAAGAATTTTGTAGAAGGCTTAAGCGTCATGCAAAGAGTCAAAACATTTAAAGGACAAACATGTGTTTTCGTTTGAAATCATCTTAAGGTTCAAAGTTCACAAGATTGGGTGTTACTTGGTCAAGTTCAACTTTATTCAAGATTTCAAAGGAAATTTTCTACACAATTTCATTCAAGGCTCATTCAACTCAAAGCAACAAGAGCCATTTTTATCCAATTCATTTTTCAAATATTTCAAGAACAAGTTTTTCTTTGACTTAAACTTCAAGATTACATCACTGCCTTTTGGACAAGAGATCAAATGCTAAGTATACAAGATATTTCAAGTTTCATTACAAGCACAATTCATGACACTCAAAGTTAGAATTACAAGATCAAATCACAATGTTACAAGAAATCCCCTATTCCTATAGCTTAATAGATGCAAAGTTTTCCTAAAACTACAAGAGAATTTCTTCAAATTTCAAAGTCTCCTCGTGCGTTTGAACTTGACTCCACGATAAATCCATGCCTTACACAAGCATGGTTGCGATTCACTTTTTGTCTTCTTCAAGCCTTCATCATCCATGCTTTCTTATCTTTCATGCTCAATACCACATTGCACATGAAACAAAGAAAAGAAAATCATGATTAGTGATCATCAAGAAACACAAACACTTGGACGTAAACAAAAATTTCTGAAGAAAGAGTTTTGCAATTTCATCATTAGGGTTATGAAGGGAATCAAAATTGAGGGTTATTAAGTCATGAATCATAAAGCCCAACAACCAAAGCCTCATAAACAATTTTGTTTCACATAATCAGAGTTTCAATAATTCAATCATGGGCCTAATTCTGTCTACTGCAAATCACAAACGAATTTGGTTCACAATAGAGTTTGAAAAAGAAATTTTCTACATAAATATGAGTTCAGAAACAGTATCAAAGCATCTAGTAGAAAGAAACAAAGTCATGAATCACAGCTCCAGCCCAATAGCAAAATCAACAAAAAGGCCTCATTATTTTTTCTCACACAATAATCAGAATTTTGGGTTTAATCATAGGCCCACAACTCCTATTGCAAATCACAAAAAAACATTTGTTTTTGGTTCACAAAAGGAGGTACAAAGAGTAAATAAGTACAAACTGCAGCAACACAGAATAGTACAAAAATATCACAGCTCAAACCAAAGCAGTACATCAGAAAATTTTGACAAAATAAGAAATAGAAACAAGTCTGAAGGATATCAGAAAGTACAAACATATCAGAAAAATAGCAACAAAATCACGGATTCAAGCCCACACGAATCAACAAAGGCCTATTATCAGAAAGTCAGGGGCTGTGAACTAAAGGTTCAAACCAACACAGCAAAATCGTAATTCCCTATGAGTATAAAACCATTAAATTGCATTCAAAAAAGGGAGGATTGTTCACATAAAAAATCAAAAATAGAAGTTATTGAACAAGCAAAACCCTCATTATCCTCATCCTTCTTTCAAACGACCCTTCAGAGATGATAATAAAAAAACACAAAGAGAACCATTACTCACAAAAACCGCATCAAACAATCAAAAACCCTAAAACAACCATCATCATTTTCCACAAACGCAAACCCTTCAGAAATTTTCATTTCAGAAATTGAAAATTTTGTTACAGAGAAAGAGAAGACAAAAAGTTCGCAAGTTTAAAGGAAGAGATAATAGCGATCTCACCGGAAAGAGGCCGAAAATCACAAATCTGAGCGCTAGGGTTTCTATACCCCCTTCAAGATCTACGCGGAATCATCCATTTCCTGCAAAATCCAACCACGGATTAGTGACGAGAAGAAGGAGACGAAGTGATCGCTACAAAAAAAGTGGAGATCAGAGCAACGCCGTCATTGGCCACCGTCGTTGCCCGCGGGTGATTTCCGGTGAGTGCCCCAGCAAGGTTCATCCTAGAGAGAATGATAGAACAAGAAATGAAATATGTATTTTAATCTTTTTTTTGTGTTTTAATTGTGATTAACATTGTTTTATTATTAATTAAATTTTGTTTAACAGTACTAATCCGGAGGTGGCAAGTGTCACCGCCCTTGTGGCTGTTGGTGAACTCTGCGCAGGTACCCCACCATAACAACCATGGTCTCCCTAATCATCACCATCATATCCTCTCTCATCATCATCCAATGCTCCATAAGTGTGTTCCATGGTAGACCCTTAGGAGCTGCAACTAACAGATCTAGCTGCTGTACCCCAATTTTTGCCCCTAAGATCCCTTCATCATACCATATTGTTTCAATCACCACAAAATCACATTAGGGTTGTTGGTTCTTCTCCCTATCTTTAGCTTTGCTCTTTGAGGAGTTACCAAGCACCTTGACTTGTTTTCTTTTGTGATCATAGATATTTTGCTTTGATTTTTCTATCTAATTAACAAAATGCAATGTTGGTTTGTCTTACTTGATTAATAATGTAGGTTAAGGCAAAGAGGTTTAGCAAGTTGCTTCATGGGTTCATGAGTTTATTTCCATGCCCTAGTCAAAAGCTTGAGGGATTCAAACCTCACCATTGAAGTTGTTTTGAAGTTGGTATGGAAGTAGTTTTAGTGGCCATGGGTCCTCATCATCATCCTCAACAATTTCTATTCACAAAGGAAGAATATTGGCACAAAAAGTTTGATCAAACTTGACAAAGTTCCACCAAGCTTTCTCTTGATCTAGAGGCTAGGGTTTTGGGCTTCAAAGGGGAATATCTTGCTCATCTTTTGGTATTTTTGAGTGATTCCAAAAACATTCTTCTCTTCAAAGAGTTACCAACAAATCACTTCAAAAGTTCCAAGGAGTTTTCATGTGGAAGAAACTTGGTGAAGAGGAAAGATTACAAGTCATCCAGATGAATACCCAATTTTTCATATGTGACTTCAAATGGTCATAACTTGGTCAATTTTAATCACCTAGAGCCCATTATTTTTTCATTATTATCTTAAGGATGTGTACTTCATGCCTTCTTTTATGTGAAAAGTAATAAAATGGATGGAAGTTACCTTAATAATGCAAAAGATTATAGGTCATTT